TAACCATCACTTACAGAGCCCTCCATGGTCAAGCACCTGCATACTTGACGGATCTGGTGTCCTTTCACTGTCCTGTCAGGTCACTGCGGTCCGCTGAAGGCCACCTACTTACTGTCCCTCACACAAGATTAAAGACGAAAGGTGATAGAGCCTTTCAGGCTGTTGCACCGAAATGGTGGAATGCACTACCTCATGAGCTGAGAGCGGCCTCTTCCGTGGACATTTTTAAAAGGCAGTTAAAAACACATCTGTTTAGGCTTGCGTTCCATTAATTGTCCATTGTATCATCTCTGTATCTCGCTGCACTTTACTTTTATTTTGTTTTTGTGTATTATGCATTGTTTCTGCTATTGTATTTTTTTGTATTTTAACTTGTGAAGCACTTTGTGAGTCCTCTCTGTGAGAAGTGCTATATAAATAAAACTGACTTACTTACTTACTTACATACTTCCTTACTTACTTACTTACTCGAAAAGGCTCTAGACATGTATGAAATGAGAACATTCAGCTTTTGGGCGCACGTCAAATTTTAGTATGAATCCTAACCACTCTTTTATAAATGAGGCCCCAGGTCTGATATTAAGGTTAATGCTGTTCTTAATCCTTTTGTCCTGATCCTACCTGGAGGGGAAAGAACTGTAGCCTATATAGTTTGACATAAGAAGCACCTCCTGAACAACTTCAAATTGAGTCATTCACAATGTTTGCTGGTTTATTAAACAACTTATTTGGACCTTGTTTTGTGAAATGTTTTGTAGCTTTTCTTTCCAAGTTCAAGAATTAACTTTTAAGGTCAATGAACATCATTCTCTAAAGAGTGTTTTTCATTCATTTATCTATCTGCTTGTGTTTCTAAGGGACAGTCTGTAATTCCAGTAACACTTTTGGACTTTTATTTTGAAGCCCGTTAAATCGTTTACCCCGGAAGCTGTATTCTTTACTGTCGCTAACTTCACACTGTTTGAGCAAGATGGCGTCTGTTGGAAACGTGTGTTAGCAGAGTGTCTTTGTTGTGTTTTTAAAGTGTGAACATGTCTAAAGTCCAAATGCTGAGAGCGTTGGTGAAGCAGCGACTAACTGCGGCTGTTGAAGAGATATTTGGGTTGTTTGAAAGAACGATAGCAGAGTACGAGGAGGAACTTTGTCGATCAAAAGAGGAGAACGAGCGACAACGTAAACTACTGGACGCTGTTTTCAACCCTCAGCTTCGGTTACACAGAGCAGGTTTGTTCATTAAACATTACAAGTTCAGTATTAATGATATAACTGCATCTTTGTTCAATAAAAACTCAGTCTGTCGATGTTTACACGCCGCGTTAGCTTCTCCGGTGTCGTTAGCTTCTCTGGTGCCGTTAGCTTCTCTGGTGTCGTTAGCTTCTCTGGGCCCTATTTCAGAAAGCAGGATCAGTGAAAACTCTGAGTATGTTCAGCTTGAGATGAGGGAAACTCATCGCCCGCTGAGAAAATCGCCCGCTGAGCGTGTGGCAGGAAGGAGAGACATGGCGTGTCCTTTTGTGAATAAAGTTTTCGTGATGAGCGATAAGAACTTCCTGCAACAGATGTTGAGGGTAACGTCGAGCTGCTTTAATGCTGAACCACATCATTATTGATCAAGTGTCTGCACATCCGACAACACAAGACACAGAGCTTCCGCTCGAACTACTTCCTGTTACCAACCTTTCAAAATGATGCAGTGTATTGAATACCACCACAAAAGTCGTGGACATTGAGGCACAATTTATTCTGTTGCGTAAGGACATGGCATAATGTCTATATGAAAGATACAATTTCACCGCACACGCTATCATTTATCTTAAAGGGATAGCGCACCCAAAAACGAAAATTCAGCCATTATCTACTCACCCATATCCCGAGTGAGGCTCAGGTGAAGTTTTTTTTTTTAAAGATTATTTTTTTGGGCTTTTTGCCTTTAATGGACGAGAGAGAGAGAGAGAGAGAGAGAGAGAGAGAGAGAGGACATGCAGCAAAGGGTTGCAAGCCGTAGTCGAACCTGCGACCGCTGCAGCGAGGCATCGCCTCTGTACATGGGACGCCAGCACGATCCACTACGCTACCGACGCCCCCAGGTGAAGTTTTAGAGTCCTCACATCCCTTGTGGAGATCCAAGGGGAGAGTGGGTAGCAACACAACTCCACCTAATGCAGGCTGGGCGCACCAGATTCAAACCTCCAAAAACACATAATTGAAACCACAAAATATCTCCATACTGCTCATCTGTAGTGATCCAAGTGTCCTGAAGCCCCGACATAAAAAGTTGTTTGGAGAAACGTCATCTGAACTCTGTTTTTAGCCTCATTGCAGTCTGCAATGAGGCTAAAAACAGAGTTCATCTGACACACTCCACAAATGAACGGTAAAAGAGAACCAGTATTTGTTTGTCCACTCCAAACTGTCAGAGCTTCCGCATAAAGTAAAGTCTTTGCTGTCCTTTGCTATAGATGGCAGCTGTATTTGAGTCCCATGACAGTTGTTTATCGATTACTGTCCCTAGATATTTATATTCATTAACAACTTCTATACTTTCACCATCAATAACTACATGTTGGTGTGTGTCTCTGCTCAGTCTGAAATGAAAAAATAATTTCTTTTGTTTTCTTGGTATTCTGCTGAAGAAAACTAGCATGACACCAATTAACAAAATCATTCACACATCCTTGATAACCTGTTTCAGCCTCAGTTATCAAACCAACAATCACTGTATCGTCAGCAAATTTAACATTGAAAACATCAGATGAGTTCGCCCTGCATTCATTCGTATATAGAGGAAATAAGACCCACAGAACTGCAGGTTTAATTACAGTTTAATTAGAAATTAATCTACGTGGATACATTATGCAATGCTTTATGAATACTATTCATATATTCAAAGATTCCACTGTGTAACTGGCTCATTTATGGGACTCAACATCCCATCATAGCTCAATCTGAGAATAAAGGACATTACGTGAATCAGAAGTCATTAACCTCAGCCTAATATTGACAGAATGACAAAAGTATAAGCAAAATATTTACCAGTCTGTACAAAATTTTTGTGTTTGATTTTGAGTTTGTGCCCAGTGTGTTTGGGCCCCATCAGATTACAGCTGCATAAGAGGATACAGCAAATTATATTGAAATATATGAACACTGTTAAGATATAAAAATGTTTATATATTTTCTGTATATTAGACACATTAATGCATCACATTACATAACGTCACTTATCTATGAACATGCTCTGCCGTCCTTTCCCATCCCACCTCACGCTGTTAAGCTGCAGCATGAAGGTTTTTTTTTCCTTGTTTGAAGATATGTTTGAAGTCTTCATTCACAGTTGTTAAAATCTACGATTCAGTTGGGATGAAATAAGCGGTTGTGCTTTTAACTCCGCTTTCTGTCACTGAAAATCATGTTATCTGCACTCCACTGATGATGGCTTTTGGTGCTCGCTGTGAACATGCTTCCCTCAGTCTGAACATACTCAGAGTTGATCGAGCTAATTACGATCAGCTGTTCTGGAACCGAAAACTCAGTTTCTCAGCTCAGGCTCAATCAACTCGGAGATCGGAATTAGGCTAAGAGTTTGTTGAGTCTCCTTTGTGAAAAAGGGTCCCGGTGTTGTTCGCTTCTCCGATGTTGTTGCCTTCTCTGGTGCTGTTTGCTGTTATTCCCCCCAGCTTTCATGCATTGGTTGTTGTTTTTTCTTGTTTGGATATTTAATATGGACAAACATGCTCTGTAACAATCTAGTGGGATTTCTAAATTCATGAGGGGCACAGGTATCATGTTTGCTTCCTGTGATTAGGATCCAATATATCTGATTTCCACATATGTATTCTGTGTTTATCTGTGTTTTTTTTATCTTATTTTGAAAGGGGGACAAAACTTGTGTGATTATTTTCCTTAATCTAGTATTTCTTTTGACCTTTCTTCAGTGAATTGATGTGAAAGTGTTGTCTTAGTCATTGGGAGAGACAACCATCAGATACAGGTTAATCTCTATTGTTGAGCTCTCTTGTGGCCAAATCCTGCAATTGCATTTGTGGAAAGACACAAACACAGAGAATTGTAATGTTCAGACATTGTGCCTCTTTAGAAGGATCACATATTCAGCCCCTTAAAATCACAGCTAGGTAAATCAATCAATATTTATGAAGCCCAATATTGGGAATAGGGTTCTAGAATAGGGTTCTAGGGTTGTAGAAGAGCATCTCACACTGCTGTAGCAGTCCTAGACTGCCCTCGTGCTGTTAGGAACTGAATTGCATGTCAAATAAAGGGGGGGAAATAAGACGGCGAATAGTAATAGTCGCATTAAAAAATTGATTTTTCAAAAATAAAACGACTATTCGAAAATCGAAAATCGTGACCCATCCCTAATCTGAACTGCTGAAATTATTGACTCAACTTATCTTTCCACCAAGTTTTAGTTACGGTTAGTTACATGTCTGAATCCACGCACGCTGGAAACACGGTCACGACTTTTTCACCCCATAAAGGAAGAAAAATGAGAAAGAAAAAGAGTCCCAACGCTAGCTTACCTGCTAATAATGCTAACGCACAGGCAACACATTCTGAGGAGTCAGCTATTCTCTGAGCAATTGAAAACCTGAAAGGCGAGCTACTGGCCAAAATCGAGGAGAAGGCAGAGTCAAAATACGATGATTGACCAGCTACGTTTGAACTGCAACATGCTACCGAGGCTGCTAAAGCCGATAACCTAAAGCTGGGAACACAGGTGGCCTCGCTGGAGGCGGCGACCAACATCCACTCCGACTCAATTACAGGTTTGGAAAAAGACATTGCCATGATGAAGAAACAGATTGACATTCTCAAAACACGAAATGACGACTTGGAAGCTCGCTCACGGCGTTGTAATTTAAGAATCATTGGCATCAAAGAGGGGCGGGAGGACGGTAAACGCCCAGTGGAGTTTATGTCCCTGCTGTTACAGCAGACTTTCGACATGTCTCTTCCGACACTGCGGAGGAGACAGGAGGAAGATCACCCTCCCAGGGCTTGGATAATTAGATGCCACTACTTCCAGGAACGCGAGAGAATATTGGAGAAGGCCAGGGCTCTGAAACAAATAACGAAGACTGATGGCGATAAGATCCGCATCCTGCCGGACTACACGAGTCTTATCCATTTAAAGTGTACCATGAAAAATTTTCATATCTTGGGGTAACGGTTACAAGAAAGTATGGGGACCTCTTTAAATTTAACTTCAAACCTGCCTTAGAGAGGACCAAATTAGACCTCCAGCGATGGTGTGCCCTTCCTATATCCTTAGCAGGGAGGATAAATTCGATAAAGATGGCAGTTATGCCTTGATTTCTTTTTTTATTCCAGATGATACCCATTTGCATATCTAAAGCATTTTTTAAAGAACTGGATAAAATCATAAACACCTTTCTGTGGAATAAAACTACCCCCAAGGTAAAAAAGATCTATCTACAGCGGCACAAGGAAGTGGGAGGTTTGGGTCTTCCAAATGCCATATTTTACTATTGGGCCGCTAATATACATAAAATAACTTATTGGATGTCTACACCAGTGGATCAGAGCAGTCTGGATTGGGTGAAAATGGAGTCTGGTTTTAGTAGTCCAGCAGATTTAAGATCTTTGATTAGTGCTCCGCTACCTATTAACCTTAAGTGAGCAGGAAACCCTGTTATTAAAGGCTCCCTGAAGATTTGGGCACAATGGAGGTCCCACTTCATGATGAGACAGGCCTTCTCCTGCATGCCACTCACTAATAATCCAATGTTTGTACCATCATTGTTAGACTCAACATTCCAGCAATTTTGGCTGTTTTCTGAGTGTTTTCCCTTTTCAGACTAGTTGACTAGTCCTCGTTAAAATTTTCATTAGGTGGACGGGAACATCCCTACCATTCGCCGTTTGGGCGGGGTTGTGGTTAGGGGGAAACAGATTTCAATGGGCAAACTCATTGACACAACACCAGCATTTTATTTTCTCAGGCTGCCAGTAATCAAACTTGATTTGCGGCAAACTCTCGCATCCTATGGACAATCATTCTCACATAATTCACTTTATCCTGAGCAAATAAAGAGCCACACTGTAGCCTCCAGACATGACAAGAGTAACAGTACATGTTAATGACTACTTTGTGTGTGTGTGTGTGTGTGTGTGTGTGTGTGTGTGTGTGTGTGTGTGTGTGTTGTGTGTGTGTTCACTGTTTCCTGCAGACGTCCAGCAGCTGTTGGTGGTTAAAGAAGAGGTTCCCCCTGAGCAGCAGGAGTGGAGCTCCAGTGTGGACCAGGAGGACCCAGAGCCTCCACACATTAAAGAGGAACAGGAGGAACTCTGGATCAGTCAGGAGGGAGAGCAGCTTCAAGAGCTGGAGGAGGATGATATCACCAAGTTCACATCCACTCCTGTCCCTGTGAAGAGTGAAGATGATGAAGAGAAACCTCAGTCCTCACATCTTCATCAAAGACATACTTATCATATGTTAACAGAAGTTGATGGAGAGGACTGTGGAGGATCAGAACCAGCTAGTAACTCAGATCCAGATTCACATTTACATCCAGAGACTGATGACAGTGATGATTGGAAGGAGACCAGAGAACCTCAGTCAGGTTTAAATTCTCTGGAAAATGATGAAGTCCCTGTGAGTGATTTGATTGTTTGCGAGAAACCATTTAGCTGCTCTGAGTGTGGGAAAAGATTCGGTTGCAATGGAGATCTGAACAGACACATTAGATCTCATACAGGGGAGAAACCATTTGACTGCTCTGAGTGTGGGAAAAGGTTTGGCCAGAAGGGACAGCTGAGGATTCACATGAGATCTCATACTGGAGAGAAACCATTTAGTTGCTCTGAGTGTGGGAAAAGATTTGGTCACAGTGGAGATCTGAAGATACACATGAGATTTCATACAGGAGAGAAACCATTTAGTTGCTCTGAGTGTGGGAAAAGATTTGGTCGCAGTGGACATCTGAAGATACACATGACATGTCATACAGGAGAGAAACCATTTAGTTGCTCTGAGTGTGGGAAAAGGTTCGGTTGCAATGGAGATCTGAAGAGACACATGAGATCTCATACAGGAGAGAAACCATTTAGTTGCTCTGAGTGTGGGAAAAGATTTAGTCAAAGTGGAGATCTGACGAGACACATGACATCTCATATAGGGTAGAAACCATTTAGCTGCTCTGAGTGTGGGAAAAGATTTGCAATGGAGATCTGAAGAGGCACATGAGATCACATACAGGAGAGAGACCATTTAGTTGCTCTGGGTGTGGGTAGAGATTTAGGCGCAGTGCAGATCTGAGGGCACACATAAGATCTCATACAGGGTAGAAACCATTCTATCGCTCCCAGTGAGAAAATATTAGGTTGCAGTACAAATTTAAAAAGTCACGAGATCTCATTCAGGAGAGAAACAGGTTACAGTAGTGTTTTAAAGATACACATGAGATCTTATACAGGAGAGAAATCATTTAGTTGTTCAATTTGTGGAACAAATGGATGAGGAATTCTCATGAGGACAACTCATGATGGGGAAAACTATTTCAGATGTTCAGTTTGGAAAAAACAATCTTTTATTTGAAAAAAGACTAAGAAACAACCATGGAAACTCGTACAGGACAAACACTTTCCAGCTTCAGTGTTTGTATGAAATCTTTTACACAAACTGGACAGTTACACAAATACATTAAATCCCACACAAGAAGGAACCCCTTCAGCTGCAGAGTTTGTCACTAAAGATTCACGTGGCCTTAACAACTCAGAAAGTTTGTTAGTCTGCTCAGCCTCATCAAACTCAAACTGAGGAGAGCAGAGAGGCAGAGCCTCCAGCCAGCAGCTCAACTACACAGATGGAACCAGAAGTTAACGGAGAGGACTGTGGAGGACCAGAATCAGCCAGATACATATTTTCAACCTGAGACTGATGATAAGACGGAAGACTCTTCTAAACCTGCGACTGATGACAGTGATAATAGTTGGAAGGAGACCAGAGAACCTCTGTCAGTCAGTCATGTGACACTCAATACTAACCAAAAACAATTAAGTTACTCAGTGTGGAGTAAAAAGATTTGTCTGTCAGAGATGCTCAATGTTTACAGTCCACAGCTCCTCTGCATAGTCTCTCCCATCTTTCCTTCTCTCATCTTATGGGCAGCAGCACTGTGCAGTCAAGGGCTGTACCTTGGGCTGATGCGGACAGGCACATCAGAAGGGACACCGCTGAGCGACCTTCATGACTCAGCCTTCATTTGAAATTGTGTTATCAGCTTTACACTCCCAGTTTGGAGAAGCAGACTAGAGAACTGGCATGATTAGGTTGCTTCCCAAAGTCACAAAAAACTTTCATACAAACTTTTAAAAAAATATATATATTTTTTCCTCTCTCCCTATTGTAAAAGCAGCAGCAGCCAGGGGTTTAAATATAGACAGGACAGGTAGTGCGGTTGCACTGGAGCCTGTGGGGTGGGGGGACCTTGCAAATGATTCAGATTTCCAATTTGGAGCTACAGCTGTGTTTCTAAAGAAAAAAAAAATCACATTTAAATTAAAAATTATGCCATTTGGTACAGGCTATTTGACCTGAAACGTGCCAACACATCTCTGTCATAATTTTCTTTTTTCTTTTCTTTCCTTTTTGTAAAATAGTCAGTAGCAATCTACAACAAATGAATAAACTATATGTATTTAAAAATGATTCGATTAAATGAATAATTTCTTGTTTCTTTCATACTTTTGTCATGTACAGGCATGCAGTGATGATTGTTGGTTAACATGTATGTTGATATTGCCTAGTGTCAAGTCTCTATTTGGTCATGTGACAAGTTGATGCAATTTACAGTAACTTGTTTAGGTGCAAAATTTGTCAAGACTGACAAGCTGAGCACATCTACCATACATGGTGCCACCTGCTACTCAGTATCCACTTACTACACTGATGGAATAGCCATCGGACGTGTGGACTTGAGGGGCCGGGGATCGAATCGCTGATCTCGCTACAGTCTCCCACAATATTGTGCACTGTTAACTACCATACACCACTTTTAGTAGCAGCAGTGTAGCAGTAGTAGAAGTACTGGTAATAGTGTGGTATATACCCCATGAAAATAATAAAGGCTCATTATTCATTTTCACCTGTTAAAAACATAAAAGGTGAGGGGTTTAATTTTTTGGGAAATAGTGACTTTTGTTTTGTAAAAAGAAAAAGGATTTAAAGTATGTTGAATGTGAAGGGAGAATATAACATGAGCAATATGTTATCTAAAGTAAAAACAACTCTTACCTGTGTTTTNCTATCGCTCCCAGTGAGAAAATATTAGGTTGCAGTACAAATTTAAAAAGTCACGAGATCTCATTCAGGAGAGAAACAGGTTACAGTAGTGTTTTAAAGATACACATGAGATCTTATACAGGAGAGAAATCATTTAGTTGTTCAATTTGTGGAACAAATGGATGAGGAATTCTCACGAGGACAACTCATGATGGGGAAAACTATTTCAGATGTTCAGTTTGGAAAAAACAATCTTTTATTTGAAAAAAGACTAAGAAACAACCATGGAAACTCGTACAGGACAAACACTTTCCAGCTTCAGTGTTTGTATGAAATCTTTTACACAAACTGGACAGTTACACAAATACATTAAATCCCACACAAGAAGGAACCCCTTCAGCTGCAGAGTTTGTCACTAAAGATTCACGTGGCCTTAACAACTCAGAAAGTTTGTTAGTCTGCTCAGCCTCATCAAACTCAAACTGAGGAGAGCAGAGAGGCAGAGCCTCCAGCCAGCAGCTCAACTACACAGATGGAACCAGAAGTTAACGGAGAGGACTGTGGAGGACCAGAATCAGCCAGATACACATTTTCAACCTGAGACTGATGATAAGACGGAAGACTCTTCTAAACCTGCGACTGATGACAGTGATAATAGTTGGAAGGAGACCAGAGAACCTCTGTCAGTCAGTCATGTGACACTCAATACTAACCAAAAACAATTAAGTTACTCAGTGTGAAGTAAAAAGATTTGTCTGTCAGAGATGCTCAATGTTTACAGTCCACAGCTCCTCTGCATAGTCTCTCCCATCTTTCCTTCTCTCATCTTATGGGCAGCAGCACTGTGCAGTCAAGGGCTGTACCTTGGGCTGATGCGGACAGGCACATCAGAAGGGACACCGCTGAGCGACCTTCATGACTCAGCCTTCATTTGAAATTGTGTTATCAGCTTTACACTCCCAGTTTGGAGAAGCAGACTAGAGAACTGGCATGATTAGGTTGCTTCCCAAAGTCACAAAAAACTTTCATACAAACTTTTAAAAAAATATATATATTTTTTCCTCTCTCCCTATTGTAAAAGCAGCAGCAGCCAGGGGTTTAAATATAGACAGGACAGGTAGTGCGGTTGCACTGGAGCCTGTGGGGTGGGGGGACCTTGCAAATGATTCAGATTTCCAATTTGGAGCTACAGCTGTGTTTCTAAAGAAAAAAAAAATCACATTTAAATTAAAAATTATGCCATTTGGTACAGGCTATTTGACCTGAAACGTGCCAACACATCTCTGTCATAATTTTCTTTTTTCTTTTCTTTCCTTTTTGTAAAATAGTCAGTAGCAATCTACAACAAATGAATAAACTATATGTATTTAAAAATGATTCGATTAAATGAATAATTTCTTGTTTCTTTCATACTTTTGTCATGTACAGGCATGCAGTGATGATTGTTGGTTAACATGTATGTTGATATTGCCTAGTGTCAAGTCTCTATTTGGTCATGTGACAAGTTGATGCAATTTACAGTAACTTGTTTAGGTGCAAAATTTGTCAAGACTGACAAGCTGAGCACATCTACCATACATGGTGCCACCTGCTACTCAGTATCCACTTACTACACTGATGGAATAGCCATCGGACGTGTGGACTTGAGGGGCCGGGGATCGAATCGCTGATCTCGCTACAGTCGCCCACAATATTGTGCACTGTTAACTACCATACACCACTTTTAGTAGCAGCAGTGTAGCAGTAGTAGAAGTACTGGTAATAGTGTGGTATATACCCCATGAAAATAATAAAGGCTCATTATTCATTTTCACCTGTTAAAAACATAAAAGGTGAGGGGTTTAATTTTTTGGGAAATAGTGACTTTTGTTTTGTAAAAAGAAAAAGGATTTAAAGTATGTTGAATGTGAAGGGAGAATATAACATGAGCAATATGTTATCTAAAGTAAAAACAACTCTTACCTGTGTTTTAAAGGGATCTGTCGCCATCTAGTGGTCAAAAGGAGGAAGCTAATTTTGACCCACAGGTGAAAACAATCATTTAGGGATTTTTCAAAGCACAGCCACTCCACCTGTGTGAACTAAAGAGAGTGTGGAGGAAAGAAGCAGCAGGAGATTTGTATTAAAGCTCTGTGTTGCAGCTTTTTGCTCAAGAGAACCTCAGACATGTCGGACAGATGTTTAACTGTGAGAGACATTTGGGGAATTTTACCCCATCTGGTCAACAGCTCCACAGGAGTCCTCCTTTGATGACTGTCACCAAACACCTGGATTTTTTTTAATGAAGATTCAAAGGAGGATTGCGAGGAACCACAGCAGAATATGAAGGTGTAAGAATTGCTTTGTGTCACTTTGTAGTTCTTTTAGCCCCGTTTCCACCTTTGGAGACAAAAGTAACCCTTAAGACATGGCACCTAGACCCTAGATCCATTCAGTGGTTCCACTGCAAACCATAAATGTGAGCGTGCTTGTGTTCCAGTGGGTGGTGAGTATCGAGCAGTAAGTATTGGTCTGTGTGAGTGGGTTTCCTGTTTTCCCCAATATGGAGGTCTCCGTACTCTGTAATGTTCACGTCACAATCCAAGAAGGGCAAACTGTTATCCTTAACATCCTCTCTTGTCAAATTGATGTTTTTGTCCACTGAGTTGATGTGTTCAGTGAAAGCTTGTACCTCTTGAGTTTTGTTTTTAACCCATGTGTCATCCACATATCTGAACCAGTGGTCCGGTGCTGTTCCCTCAAAGGAGTTCAAGGCTCTGTATTCTACATCCTCCATGTACAGGTCAGCCACAATGGCGATACTGGTGAGCCCATGGCACAGCCATGTTTCTGTCTGTAAAAATTGCCATTGTATTTGAAATAGGTAGTGCTCAGGCAGAGATATAGTAGTTGGCATATCTGATCTGGACTGAGCTTGGTTCTGTTATGGAGGGTGTTGTCATGTAGCAACCGTTGTCTGACTGTTTCCACTGCCTCCATGGTTGGAATGCAAGTGAACAGGGAGGTCACATCATAGGATACCATGGTATCATCTGTATCAATCTTTAAACCTCACAAAGTCTATGGAGTTCTGGATATGGTGGGGCGTATTGCCCACCAAGGGAGCCAGGATGTTGGCTACATATTTGGCAATGTTAAACGTGACCGCGTGTATGCTGCTGACAATTGGTCTGAGGGGGGGCCCCTTCTTTGTGAATCTTGGGGAGCCCTTATATGCACGGGATGGCACCTTGGGGGTACAAACGGTGATATTGTAGGCGATCAGTGGTGCCCTCTTTCTGTAGTTTTTGTAGGCATTCTATTGTCTTTTCCTTGTAACCACTGGTTGGGTCTCGTTTCAGAGTTTCGTAGGTGTTAGTATCACTGAGTAATCATCAATCATCAATATCTACATGGTCCTTTCTAGATATCTTGAATTGAGTTTCAGATAGTCAAAATGACGTTGTAGATATCTGTAACTTAATTATGACTAGTCAGAATGACGTTATAGATATCTGTAATTCAGTTTTGACTAGTCAGAATGACGTTACAGATATCTTAAATTAAAATTCATACTAGTCACAATGCAATTACTACTAGTCAAAATGACGTTATAGATATCTATAATGGTAATTCCGGATAGTCGGACTTAGTGATTAAATGTTAAAACGGCTTGCCATACTGGGTCCTCCTGGTCCACACTGGAGCTCCACTCCTGCTGCTCAGGGGGAACCTCTTCTTTAACCACCAACAGCTGCTGGACGTCTGCAGGAAACAGGAAACACACACACCACACACACACACACAGATGTTACAGAGAAATATTGTCGTTCATTCACATCACGGCTCAAAAACTTCTTACTGAACTTTTACAGATCTCTGAGCATCAAACAGCTTCACAGTGTTCACTCAGCTGTGTCAAGGCCAAAACACACTGGTGGCGGACAACGCAAGACCCCCTGCCCCTCCCTCATGAACCCCTCACTCACAGTTAATGCACTTAAATTGAGTTGATGCCGCCCCCGTCAGCGCATCATCTCATCTTCATCCTCCCCTTCATTCTCTTTCTCCACGTTTGGCATCATCACTCTATCCTCCACGCTAGCGCTGGAAGGTGTGTGTGTGAACCGCTGTCCACTCTCGTGTTTTTGGAGTAACAAAAGTAAAGCGGACTGACTACTACTGACCACTTTCTCTTTTCTTTTGGTGGTAGGTCGTCTTTGCTGGTGCTTTGATATAATTTGCCTCGTACAATAAAGTCATCAGTTGTCCCTCTCACGTCTTTCTCCTTTTAAATTATATCATCCCTCACACTAAGTGTCACACACTAATAATTCCCATGCGCAAACGTTGACAAATATAGGTTTCATGTCAAGTGAAATTTTAGCAAATTCCCACAATTTTGCTCCATGAATTCACACAAAAATCCTGCATATTCCATTGCATAATCAAGGATTTTTGCCCGCATTGATCACAAAAAAAATACGCTGCGTTTTTCTGGAGGGACTGATTTATGTGACAACGCCTGAACGCAACACAGGCTCCGCTGCAAATGAGTGTGTGTACAGTGTTGTGCTGTCCTGCTGTGCGAGCAGCATGTGTGACAGTGCCTAACAGCAGTCGGTTGACGGTCATTTAAACACTGTTCAAAACAATAACTGTCAGGTCAGGTCAGGGCCCCCCTAATATGATGTAGGGGAACTGCTGAATCAAGCAAGATGACTCATGATACCATTTATTTATTATATTGTAATCGCAATCACGATATTGTCCACTAAAATCGTAATCGCACATTTTTATCAAATCGCGCAGCACTAGTCTGAGCCAGCTGGTGGCTCAAGAGGAGGAGGCATGTCTGGGCCAGTCAGGGGCCCAGGAGGCAGAGGGACTGGGAGAGTGAGAGAGCAGAACTTCTCCTACAGTTTGCCTGGTGACATCACAGAGTGAAATTTCACTGTAAAGTACTGTCCAGTCAGGTTTAAAGACTGGTCTTTCAATTAGGTCTACAAATGGGGCATCCTGTGGAGATAAGGGCCAAATGGCTACATTTTGTTTGAAGAACAAAGAACCTTTACATGTCCAATTTAGATCTGCAAAAATGACAAATCATCTGTGGTCCAGTGAATCCCAACAACACAAACTGTATTGTTTACTAATTCTTGGGTGGAGGACTGAAGCTTAAAAAACATGAATTTAATTGTATTTCTGAACCAACATGAAATAAAGAATTTAGCTGCATCCCAGGTTAAATTAAAGGGTTCTGATGGGAAAGTAACAACAATAGAAAGTTTAAAATAAGCCCTGCATTTAAGGCCTGGAGAAAAGACCCATGTTTGTAGGAAGGTGAATTTGATGTAAACAAACCAAACTACTCCCATAAGACTCTTTTCTCTTCAGCTCTGTTAACTTGTACTTTACTTAAGTATTTATATTTCCTGCTACTTTATACTTCTACTCTACAACATCTCAGAGGTTCATATTGTACATTCATACTACACTACATTTGTTTAACACCTGGAGTAACTTCGCTGCTTCACCAACGCTCTCAGCATTTGGACTTTAGACATGTTCACACTTTAAAAACACAACAAAGAGACTCTGCTAACACACCTTTCTACCAGACGCCATATTGTTCAAACAGTGTGACGTTAGCAGAAGTACAAAATACAGCTTCCGGTACACGTGAGTGAATGAACTTCAAAATAAAAGTCCAGAAGTGTTCCTGAAATTGCAGGCTTCCTCAGAAACACAAAGGATAAATGATGAAAATACACTTTTTTGAAATAATGACATTTATGGTGCTCTTAAAGTGTTTAATTACATTAAATATCTTGGTCATTATATTGTCAATGATTTATCTGATGATAGAGACATCCACAGACAGTGTTGGAAGTTGTATACACAGGCTAATATGCTTGCTCACAAATTTAGTATGTGTTGAGTTGATGTAAAATTAGCTCTTTTCAGAGCATTTTGCACTCCACTATATACTGCCCACTTCCTCCTATAGGAGGAACAATATGCACAACAAATCTAATGATCCATTGCTTGTGGATGCACTTGTATCCTCTGCCTGCATCTCACTCTCTGCATCACCTTCAGCCACAACATCAGAATCCATCTCTTCTTCCTGTTCTGTCCACTCTCCCTCAAAATCAGTCTCTCCCTGCCTTTTCTCCTCTGTTCCCTCAACATCTGGACCATCTGGCTTTGTCTCATGCTCATTGTTGTTGCTTCACCATACAGTTTCAGCTGAAAATAACAACAGAAATAAACAGGTTTACTTTATTACATATCCCTGCTTTTCAAAACAGCTTCTACCTGGAAGGCTTGGACCGGCGTCACCATCATTCAATCTGCGAAGACATCATCAATATTCATCTGAGCCCTGATGGATTATGTGTTAAAGGTTTGATTTTATTTCCTCAGTGTTACACTGATGGATTCCCTGTGTAAACTGTCGTGAAAACAAAAAACTAAACTAAAAAACAATTGATACGGTTCAATAAATGTAATTCTTTCAAAAAAGTGTATTTTAATCATTTATCCTCCTGCATGTGCTTTTCTGAGTAAGCCTGTGATTCCATTCACACTTGTGGACTTTTATTTTGAAGCTGATTAATTAATTTACCCCGGAAGTTCTACTCTTTACTTTTGCGAACGTCACACTGTTTCAACAAGATGGCGTCTGTTAGAAAGGTGTGTTATCAGAGTGTCTTTGTTGTGTTTTTAAAGTATGAAAAGTGCAAATACTGAGATCGTTGGTGAAGCAGCGACTAACTGCGGCTGCTGAAGAGATATTTGGGCTGTTTGAAAGAACGATAGCAGAGTACGAGGAGGAACTTTGTCGATCAAAAGAGGAGAACGAGCGACAACGGAAACTACTGGACGCTGTTTTCAACCCTCAGCTTCGGTTACACAGAGCAGGTTTGTTCATTAAACATTACAAGTTCATTATTAATAATATAACTGCAGCTTTGTTCAATAAGTATTCAGTCTGTCGACGTTTATACGCCGCGTTAGCTTCTCTGGTGTCGTTAGCTTCTGTGGTGTCGTTAGCTTCTCTGGATTTATTAAATCCTCCGCTGTCATTCGCTGTTTTTCCTCTTTTGCTTTCAGGCATTGGTTGTTGTTTTTTTCCTTGTTTGTATATTTCATGTGGACAAACATGCTCTGTAACAATCTAGTGGAATGTCAAAATTCATGAGGGGCACAATATCATGTTTACTTCCTGTGGGTCCGGGTAGGTCCGTGTACTTTTTGTCAGTCTTTCGTTTTAACCAAATAACGGGAAAACGGAAATACCATGGTTTTTCATTTTTTCATTTTAAACAACAACAACAATAAAAAAAAAAATACAAATGATAAAACAGAGCTGTTTTTCTGTTTTTGTTGTCTGAATAAAACAAAAACCGAAAAACAAATTCAAGAAGAAACAAATTCAAATAACGGTCCGACTTTGGTTTCTTCCAATGCCTGTTTTCATCTTTCCTCTTGAGAAGAACGTGAAGAAAAGTAAGACAGGTGAGCTTCCTGGAAGTCCAAGTAAATATGGGCCTTTCAAAATAAAAGCTAAGAGAATGCAATAGCCATTCTGTAACATTAACGTTATGCACCTGAGGAAAAATACATTAATATAAATTAATGAATCAGACAAATTAATAAGTAAATAAAAACACCAAAAAAAATGAACCGATGGAAACGGGGATTGATTACATGTAGATTAATATTGTGCATTTGATTCATCTACACAGCATGAGCAAAGTCTTAGATGAAAGATTTGCATTTTTTGGTGCAATACAGTTCGCATAGTTTAACCAACATTTACCAGCAATTACTGTGTGTGCAGAGTTGTTACTGTTAGCAGTGGTATTTAACTGGGTTTCCACTGTAATGCGCTGTTGCCTGAGTGAAACAGAGTGGAAGTAGGTTAAGCTGACTCTCCACCAGTAGATGGCAGTATGAGTGCTTAAATGTATGCCTGGTTTGTCTCTTTGTGAACTGTTGGCTTATTTTCCAGGTTATTGATGCAGATGTATTTAATACTGTTTTAATTAGGGATGTCCCAATCTGATTTTTTTGCTTCCGATCCGATACCGAGTCCTTTATTTTGAAACCGAGTCCAATCTGATACTTTGCAAAGCATTAAGAAAGAAAAAAAAAAAGAATGCATCCAAGTTGTCCCATAAGATTTGGTTTTTATTAAAATAGTATCCAAAAAGCTTATCGGTGGTTCAGCAGCACAAAATGTAAACCAAGTCAATATCTTCTTCTTGTCTTCAATAAACAAAGGAAACAAATATTTTTCTTTTACTCTGTCAAACCCCACAAAGAAACCATAAAACCCATAAAACAGGTCCCCTAACACCAAAATTAAATTGTTTTTACCTGGTTTCTGTAGAACAAAAGAATTATACTCAATTTTTAAAAATTCAAATAAAACAGTAATCACTTTCAAGAACCAAAGAAAAGAAATGTTCCGCTCCGTTCAGTCTAATGAGAATCCACTGTTGGCTCTGACTCAGTTTAGTTTTAAAACAATAAATCAATCCAGCCCGAATGTTCCAAATAAGGAATGAATGAAACGGAAAGTAACCCCCGGATTTTGCCAACTCACGGGACCGTGTGTGAATGTTGTAACGCTCTGGCGTTGTTTCGGGCGTGGAGGCTCCGTAGGATCCCTTGATATCCATGGTGGAATCTCTCAGTTGAGGCCGGTGGCCGGATGGATGATATTCCACGGAGAAGCGCACCTATTTTGCGCACTTTGAGCGGTGTAAAATGCCGTGGTAGGCCAAATACGCAGAGGACTTCTGGCTCATTTCTCACTCGCCGGCGACTCTCGCCATACTGCCAGGAGCGGCATAATGTAGGGGCCGGTCTACCTGGGCTCAGCTGATCGAGCCATCCCACTGGCCGATAGCACCAGTGGGTGTGTCTGGAGGTACCTCAGTGTCTGGAGGTGAGCAAGCCATCAGCTGACTGTTTTATAAAAAAATATATATTTATAAAATATACAGGATCGCCACACTTTATACATTGGAAAGCGGAGGCAACAGTGAACAACATAGATGGAAAAACTTGGCCGTTTTTGTTATTTTGATTCCTCCGATCTTTTATTACCGATTCTGATTTTGTAAAAATAACATGATCGGTGCCAATACATCCCTAATTTTAATTGAATAATTTTGATATTTGATGTTTATGGTTTATTTACAACCTAGTTATAAACAACATGTATTTACTTTTCATTTCAGAACCACACGTAGGCCTACCTGTATAGAAGAATGAGCATGTGTTGATAGTGTGGCAGAAATGAAAATGAAAAATAAACGAAAAATAAAGACACATTTGGGTTGTTCTTATCGGACACGATTCAGTGGATCAGGCTTCAGTTACCAGCCAGTCATAGCACCACCTGTACACTATACCTTCATGGTTTACTCTCAGCTCAGAGTCAAACCTGCACGTCCTTCTGTTCCAACTCTGCTGGTAGCGTCTTACATTAGAAATTTCTTGATGTAGGCTGTTTGGTCTAAAGAATGATTTACAGGACTGCAGAAATAGGACACAGCCAATACAAAGGCAATGATTCAGACAACAAAATCAGAAAAACAGCTCTGTTTTATCATTTGTATTTTTTTATATATATATATATTTTTTTAAACAAAAAATGAAAAACCATGGTATTTCCGTTTTCCCGTTATTTGGTTAAAACGAAATATCAGACTGACAAAAAGTACACTGACCCACAGGCTTCAAATAACAGATTTACCGTTTTTTGGTTTTTGAATTACAAATTAATTAAGAATTATCCGATGATACCCGGACTATAATGTGTCATCTGTATATATAAAACACCTTCCACAAATTCAAAAAAGATTTGTAAACTCACAACAATATTTTGCAAATATAAAACGGATCTGCAAATACACAAACACATTCCACAAATAAAAAATATCCGTGAATACATTAAATTAATTTTCAAATAAATGATAAGCATTTGTGAATATCTTCCTAGCATTTACAACTTCGAACAGGCATTTGTGAACTCAGTTTTTATTTGCGAATCGAAAAAACAGTTGTGGATCTCAGTTCTACGCGTGTCAATGTGCTTTTTACACATACGGCATTTTGAAACAAACTTTCCGCTGGTCCGAACGAAAATGCACTCGTATCACTCGGCCATTTTCAGATGATGACATCATTTCTGCATTTCAAAGTTAGAGCACGCAGTCTTTCTATGAGCTGTTTTTTTTTTAATAATCAGCAGTAAGTAACGTGCATTCATTGTTTTATGTTAATGTCATACAGCGAGTATTAGTGTGTGTTCATTTCTTCTATGTATATTATCTGGCACACACTTTTATATACATTTCTGTTTGAGTATGAAAGGCACGGCCATGCTTGTGGGCAACCTTCTTTCAGGCAGTCACACATTTCCTCCAAAACTTAATAATAATAATAATAATAATACATTTTATTTAAGGGCACCTTTCATGGCACTCAAGGTCACCTTACAAAAGTACAGAAGTGCATAAAAACAGGGATAAAAACAAACAATAAAATACAATGGATAGTGCAAAGATCAGACAGAGTATGAGAGTTTGAACAGATGGGTTTTCAGTCTGGTTTTAAAGAGGGGTAAGGAGTCCGTGTTGCGGAGGTCAGGGGGGAGGGAGTTCCAAAACTGGGGAGCCGAGCGGCTGAATGCTTGGCCCCACAGCAAAAATGAGGCAGATGTGCCTTTTGTCATTTATAAAAAAGATAAATCACTTTTCTATAATACATCAATGATATTTCAATGGAATAAATTACTTATTGACTTATTCATACTTCAAAAACAGCATCAATAAGTGATTAACATAGGGGAGATCAAAATAAAATAAATAAATGAAATAAGAATCAACTAGCCATCCTCCTCCCCTGACAAGTCCCTTCATAAGTAAAGAACAGTCCCTAAAGTGCGGTGAGGTTTGTGGGCCATTGCCTGCCGCAAAGAGAGAAATGTGAACGGCTCGTTTCTCATCTGATACGCCACATAGGCTACTGTGTGCTGCCATGGCTCGGCTGTTCAGTTAGTTTTGGGCAGTCATGACAACAAGTTATTCACCTGGAGCTGGACTTCTCCGTTGCCGGTAAGCCGTTATCATGCGCCGCCGTATTTGACAGGAGTATGTATTCCTGTCCGTGTCTGTGACCCCCGTTCAACCCACAACCGGCGGGATTCGTCATTTCGTTTCTGCTGCTGGTTGAAATCTGTACTCACACAGCATGCTGAATGATTTGTTTTGCCCGCACAAAACTATATTTAGTCGCAAATACGAGTGCGGTGACGGACGGAGTAAAATATCGTCATACTGCCGACATTTTACTCCATCCGTCACCGCACTCTGTTTGATTGCGTTATCAAAACACACCACTATTATTCGGCCTTGCTTTTCACTTACTCCACCGAATACCGAATGTATGTTTTTTGCAATATTCGGCCAAATATATTCGGTGCATCCCTAAATAGGAGCCTTCCCCCACTCCCCCCTCCCCTCACCGCTGCTCTCCTCACTACGCTGGCTGCTGTGCTGTGCAAGTGGACAGATGTCTCAGAGCGGTGGTGGTGCATTTGCAAAATAAATGTTTTGAAGGAGCAGCAGCGGCGGCAATAATTTAGCAGTGGCAGCACGCCGCTGCTTAATGAATGTAGCGTAAACACTGAAAGAGCCACACTGTAGCCTCCAGACATGACAAGAGTAACAGTACATGTTAATGATTTGTGTGTGTGTGTGTGTGTGTGTGCGCGCGCGTGTGTGTGCACTGTTTCCTGCAGACGTCCAGCAGCTGTTGGTGGTTAAAGAAGAGGTTCCCACTGAGCAGCAGGAGTGGAGCTCCAGTGTGGACCAGGAGGACCCAGAGCCTCCACACATTAAAGAGGAACAGGAGGAGCTCTGGATCAGTCAGGAGGGAGAGCAGCTTCAAGGGCTGGAGGAGGATGATATCATCAAGTTCACATTCACTCCTGTCCCTGTGAAGAGTGAAGATGATGAAGAGAAACCTCAGTCCTCACATCTTCATCAAAGACACACTGAACAGATGGAAACAGAAGCAGATGGAGAGGACTGTGGAGGATCAGAACCAGCCAGGAACTCAGATCCAGATACACATTTACACCCAGAGACTGATGACAGTGATGATTGGAAGGAGACCAGAGAACCTCAGTCAGGTTTAAATTCTCTGGAAAATGATGAAGTCCCTGTCAGTGATTTGATTGTTCGTGAGAAACATTGCTCTGAGTGTGGGAAAACATTTAGTCGCAGTGGAGATCTGATGGTACACATGAGATCTCATACAGGAGAGAAACCATTTAGTTGCTGCGAGTGTGGGAAAAGATTTAGTCGCAGTGGAGATCTGAATGGACACATGAGATGTCATACAGGAGAGAAACCATTTGACTGCTCTGAGTGTGGGAAAAGATTTCGTCAAAGTGGACATCTGAAAAGACACATGAGATCCCATACAGGAGAGAAACCTTTTAGCTGCTCCGAGTGTGGGAAAAGATTCACTTGCAGTGAAGGTCTTAGGGGACACATGAGATCTCATACAGGGGAGAAACCATTTAGCTGCTCTGAGTGTGGGAAAACATTTGGTTTCAGTGGCGATTTGAAGACACACATGAGATCTCATACAGGGGAGAAACCATTTAGCTGCTCTGCGTGTTGCAAAAGATTTGGTAAAAATGTAGATTTGAAGAAACACATGAGATCTCATACGGGGGAGAAACCATTTAGCTGCTCTGTGTGTTGCAAAAGATTTGGTCAAAGTGGAAATTTGAAGAAACACATGAGATCGCATACAGGGGAGAAACCATTTTGCTGCTCTGAGTGTGGGAAAACATTTGCTTTCAGGGGAGATGTGAAGAAACATATGATATCTCATACAGGGGAGAAACCATTTAGCTGCTCTGTGTGTTGCAAAAGATTTGGTCGAAATGGAGATTTGAAGAAACACATGAGATCTCATACAGGGGAGAAACCATTTAGCTGCTCTGAGTGTGGGAAAAGATTTGGTTATAGTGAAAATTTAAAGATACACATGAGATCTCATACAGGAGAGAAACCATTTTGCCGTTCAGTTTGTGGAAAATCATTTACACAATGTGGAAATTTACTTACACTCATGAGGAGAACTCATGAAGGGGAAAATTGATTCACCTTTTATTTGGAAAAAGACTTTAAAAACAACCATGAGAACTCGTACAGGACAAACACTTTTCATCTTCAGTGTTTGTATGAAATCTTTTACACAAACTGGACAGTTACACAAATACATTAAATCCCACACAAGAAGGAAACCCTTCAGCTGCAGAGGTTGTCACTAAAGATTCACTTGGCCTTAACAACTCAGAAACTATCAATGTTTTGTTTGTTAGTCTGCACAGCCTCATCAAACTCAAACTGAGGAGAGCAGAGAGGCAGAGCCTCCAGCCAGCAGCTCAACTACACAGATGGAACCAGAAGTTGAAGGAGAGGACTTTGGAGGACCAGATTCAGCCAGATACACATTTTCAACCTGAGACTGATGATAAGACAGAAGACTCTTCTAAACCTGTGACTGATGACAGTGATAATGGTTGGAAGGAGACCAGAGAACCTCTGTCAGTCAGTCATGTGACACTCAATACTAACTAAGAACAATTAAGTTACTCAGTGTGGGGTAAAAAGATTTGTCTGTCAGAGATGCTCAGTTTTTACAGTCCACAGCTCCTCTGCATAGTTTCTGCCATCTTTCCTTCTCTCATCTTATGTGCAGCAGCACTGTGCAGTCAAGGGCTGGGCCTTGGGTTGATGCAGGCACATCAGAGGGAACGCCACTGAGCAACCTTCTTGACTCAGTCTTCATTTGGAAAAATCACAAAATCCCATTACCTTAAAAATGGTGCCACATGCCAACACATCTCTGTCATAATTTTCTTTTTTTCTTTTCTTTCCTTTTTGTAAAATAGTCAGTAGCAATCTACAACAAAATGATATGCTGATTCTACATGAACCCGAAGAACCATGAATAAACTATATGTAATTTAAAAATTATTCAATTAAATGAATAATTTCTTATTTCTTTGATACTTTTGTCATATACATGCATGCAATGATGATTGTTGGGTAACATGTATGTTGATGTTGCCTAGTGTCAAGTGTCTATTTGGTCATGTGACAAGTTGATACAATTTACAGTATCTAGTTTAGGTGTGGGGTTTTTTTTTGTGGGTTTTTTTTAATAAGGATCCCCTTCAGCTGTGCCCTAAAGCAGAGCTAGTCTTCCTGGGGTCCACATTAAACAATACATTTAAAACATACAGTTTAAAAAACAAGATATAAAGAAGACAAAAACAAAACTAAACAACAAACCTATGTTAAACTTTACAGTACATATATATATCATTCTCAAGCAAAAAATATACATGAAACCTTCTAATGTACAGTAACAATACATGAAAATCAGATCAAGATACATCTTATCTTGTGTGTGTGTGTGCCTATGTATGTGCCTGCATGTGCATTTATGGTATCCTACAGGTATGATATTCCCAGTTGTTTCTTAATTTGCTTTTTAAATATTGATTTTTGTGTCAATTTAGTCATTGGCAGTGGTAAGAAATTCCATGTTTTCATTGATCTATATTCGACTGTTTGCTTCAGAAAATTAGTGTTTGGTTTAGGAAGTGAAAACCGACCCTCTGATGCTTGTTTAGTGACATATGTGTAAGACTCTTGATTGTGTTTTAACTGATCATACTGATATGGAGTTTTGGATTGTAAAACCTTCCATATTGAAGATACAAGTGCAGCATTCATTCTGTCCTCAACTTTTAACCATTGTAGACAGAGATGCATGTTGTTGACACTTGTATTCAAGTTCAAGTTCACTTTATTATTGTCCTGGATGGGCAATTTGGGTTGCAGCAGCCATAGAAATAACAAAACCACACATAGAAACATGCAAAAGACAAGTAAATATGAGTACAGAATGAGTAGACAATCCATGACAATGACATATTCAATCAATGCTGTCATCCAAAATGACATCACCTCCTATCCCTATCCTTAAAATAAAAATAAAAATAAAGTAAAATACCATGTCTGGTCTATTATTGTATTGTATTGACATTGGAGAACAAGGCGTGCCGTGTTGTTCCGAACCAACTGGAGGTTGCTTAGATCTTTTTTAGTGGCATTTGCTCATACAATTTGACAGTAGTCAAGCTGTGAGGGGACAATGTTGTTTACTACCATTTTAGTTAATTCTGATGTAAGACATTTTCTGCATCGCCTTACCACTGCCAATGCCTCACCCATTCCGTTCACAACAGTGTCAATGTGTTTTGACCAGGAAAGCTTATTGTCAAGAAAGATGCCCAGGAGCTTAATTTCCTTAACTTGCTGGATTGGTGTTTTATTTATAAAGAGATTTAGTTCTGGCTCTCTGAGAGAATAATTTGGACCAAATACAATGCATTTCATTTTGGTTGTATTGAGTATCAATTTGTTTTGAAAGACCCATTTCCCAACTATGTCTAGCTCCTTTTTCAAGATGACATTTAGATCAGCAGATGTTGTTGCTGATGCATACACTGTAGTGTCATCTGCGTACATTGTTAATTTGGCCTCTTTCAGTATGAGAGGTAAATCATTAGTAAATATAGCATACATAAGCGGACCTAGGCAGTTTCTTTGAGGAATTCCACATTCTAAAGACATGCTATCTGAGTAATCACCATTAAAGAAAACTCTCTGCAATCTATTCGTCAAATAATTTTACATCCAGGCTATTGCAGATGGTCTAAATCCAGAGGACTCCAGCTTTTCAAGAAGGAGATTGTGGTCAATTACATCAAAGGCTGCTGTAAAGTCTAACAGGACTGCTCCACAGATCATTTTATTATCTAAATCTCGGTACCTGTCATCTGTCATTTGAACTAGAGCTGTGCATATAGAATGTCCTTTTCCATAAGCATGCTGGAAGTTTGATATCAAATTATTTACTGAAAAATATTTTTCTATTTGGTCAAAAATAGCTCTCTCAAAGATCTTACTTATTGCTGGTAACAAGCTTATGGGACGGCTGTTCGGGCCATTGAAGGATGTTTTCTTAGCTTTAGGCAAAGTAATGACTTTTGCTTCTTTCCAAGCCTGTGGAAGGATAGATTGTATCAGACTGGTATTCATTATGTGACATGTAGGGTTTGCTATATAATTAACAGCTATCCTAATTAGTTTATCATCTATATTATCAATTCCTGGTTGTTTGTCATTGCATGTTAACTTAATTCATTTTTCAACTGTTTCTGTTTTTAATTCACTGAATTCAAAATGGCATGTTTTATCTCTCATATTTTTTTTATGTTAGAAATTGATAAACTATTGTCTGTACCATGTGATAATTCCTTCCTTAATTTATATACCTTACTTCTAAAATAATCATTCAAATAATTTGCAATTTCTTTGGGTTTAGTAATAAAGGTGCCTCCACAGTCAATACAGGTTGGTTGTGAAGATGACTTTCGACTCATTATATTATTCAGTGTGCTCCGAAGCTTTTTACTGTCATTCCTCGTTCTGTTTAACTGTAGAGCATAATATTGTTTCTTTTTCTTTTGGTTGAGCTTTGTAACATAATTCCTCAGTTTACAGTATTTCTGTCTATTATTTATATTGCCACTTTTTTGTTCCCTTTCCTTTGCCTTATCCCTCAGAGACATATGGTCTTTTAACTAATTGTCGACCCAGGGTGTTCTAAAAGTTTTCACAGTCAGTTTTCTAACAGGTGCATGCTTGTCCATAACTGGTTGAAAATTTTCCAGAAATACTGATAGTGCTTTATCTGATTCCTTTTCATCATAAATATTTGACCTACATACAACATATGTTGCTAACATCCTCCAGGAAGGTTTCCTGAGAGAACCCCCTGTAGGATCTTTTGTACACAATTTTTGGTTTAGCTTTGGGTACTTTACTTTTCCTTGCAATTGCTACTACATCATGATCACTGCAACCTACTGGGACTGATACTGCCTTGGTGTAAGAATCATTTTCACTCAAAAAGATATGATCAATACAGGATGAAGTGTTGATATCCTTGTTGTTGATATTTAATCTAGTTGGTTGTGTTAACATTTGTTTCAAACTACATGCATCAGTTATGGTAGCCAGTCTATAATTAAATCTCCGGTAAAAACAACTTCCATGTTCAATTCACACACTTTATCCAGATTCTTACCCATAACCTCTAAGTAATTACGGTTTGAGTTTGGTGGCCTATAGCAGCAGCCCAATAAAATGTATTTAATGTGGGACAAGCCACAATACCTCAATTTCCTTACACATGATATCCTCCCTAACTTTCACTGGAATATGAGCATCATCATCAAATGTCTCATCTAAATGAGTTTCAGAAAGAGCAAGTATATGAATTGTGTTTGAAAACAACAGATCAGCAATTTCATCTAATTTGTTCCTTAAACTACAAATATTCAGATGTGCAATTTTCAAAGTTTTCTTTGGAAAGAGAGCAGCAATCGACATGATATATGAAATGTATTTTCACCATACCTTTACCTTTATATATTGTGTGTGTCTGTGCATATTGTCCCATTTCTTTCATTGATCACGTGTGTGTGTGTATTGTCCTTGTGGGTTCACATTCCTTATTCCTTAATGCCGTTTGTGGATGATGAGCTTGTCATATCTTAAAAAAGTAATATCCCCTCTTTGCCTGGCAGCTTTCATTTTAGGCAGTAGCTCTTTTCTCTTCTGGCGAACTGAATCAGGATAGTCCTCATTTATATAAATGTTCGATCCTGTCAGCATTTCTGCTTCGCTCAAAATTGTGTCCCTGTCCTTGATTCTTAGAAACTTCACCATTAGAGGTCGAGGTCGTTGTCTGCCATGGGTACCATCTGTGGCTATAGATGCTTTTCTGAGACACTGAACTCTTTCAATCCCAATAGTGTGGGGATCCAGGTCCAGTTTCTCCTTGAAGAGAGTCAGAACCCTCTCCTCTGAATCCGACCACCTTTCATTTTCAGACTCAGGAATGCAATCAATAATCACATTGTGACATTTGGACTGACCATCTAAAACGTCCGCTTTGTTGTTTAATGCAATCATTGATTCAACCAGCTTGTGTATATCCACTTCATTTGATTTACAGTTAGATGGCAGACTGGTGCTGGCAGCTTTCAAGTCATCCACCTCCTTTTGTGTAAAATGGAGGTGGGTGCGCACACAAACCTTAAAGTTGCTCTCCTACTGTTGTAGCAGTTCTTTATAGAAAGCTTCTTGTCAATCCAGTTGTTCACGCAGTTGTTCTTGTGAGATGTATTGACATGTATTGCCAAGACTGACAAGCTGAGCACATCTACAAGTCCACTAAGCAGTCATGCCTTTGTAACATAAAAGCGGCAGTAAAAAAGGACAAGAGAGGGCTGAACAGGAGGAAAAGTAATGATGTGGTATATACCCCATGAAAATAATAAAGGCTCATTATTCATTTTCACCTGTTAAAAACATAAAAGGTGGGGGGTTTAATTTTTTGGGAAATTGTGGCTTTTGTTTTGTAAAAAGAAAAAGGATTTAAAGTATGTTGAATGTGAAGGGAGACTATAACATGAGCAATATGTTATCTAAAGTAAAAACAAGTCTTACCTGTGTTTTAAAGGGATCTGTCACCATCTAGTGGTCAAAAGGAGGAAGCTGATTTTGACCCATAGGTAAAAACAATCATTTAGGGATTTCTCAAAGCACAGCCACTCCACCTGTGTGAACGAAAGGGAGTGTGGAGGAAAGAAGCAGCAGGAGATTTGTATTAAAGCTCTTTGTTGCAGCTTTTTGCCCAAGAGAACCTCAGACATGTCGGACAGATGTTTAACTCTGAGAGACATTTGGGGAATTTTACCCCAACTGGTCAACAGCTCCACAGGAGTCCTCCTTTGACAACTGTCATCAAATACCTGGATTTTTCGAATGAAGATTCAAAGGAGGATAGCGAGAAACCACAGCAGAATATTTAGGTATAAGAATTGTTTTGT